AAAACCCTCTCTCTGACCTCTCTCTTCTTCCAATCTTCGGATCTTCCTCCCGTGTCCCGTCCTTGTCGCCTTGTCCTCCTCCCTCCCTCTCGGCTCTCGCCCGCCGGCCGCCGGCCCGCCGCCATTGACCAAGCCAAGGTTAGGGTTTCACTTCTTGTCTTCTTCACTTCTATGCTCCTTTTGACAAGATCGTGAATTGGTGTAGAAATTTTGATTTATCTGTAAGTTCTCAGTTCTCACTAGGGTTTAGGAATTAGGGCTTTGTGGAATTAGGGTTTAGGAATTAGGGCTTTGTGAAATTGAAATTGAAATTGATTAGGGCCTAAATTGAAATTGAAATTGGAATTAGTTCTCACTAGATTTTATTGTTTAATTTCAAATTTCAATTTAAATATTTGATATATTTTAGTCCCTAACATGCTTTTTGGTAGGAATCCTTGATTAATTTATTTTTCTCGATATTTATTAGATTGTAGCAGATTCAGAATTAAATTTGGATATCATGCCTCCTCGAAAGTATATGTCTGGACATGATAAGCGGATAAAGAAACAAAAAATTGAAGAATTCAATCGATCTCAAGCGGGAGCACTTGAAAAATTTATTACTTGTAGTAGAAATATATATTCTAATTCAGTTCAAGATTCGGTGAATGTTGAAAATGAGCAACCTGAAAATCAAGAAAGCGAGGATTTGGTTAATGAAAATTTGAATGAGAATAGAAATTCCATTGAAGAAGGTGAAGAACATGAAGATTCTAATGAGAATAGAAATTTGAATGAGAATAGCAATGTAAATGAACATGAAGAAAATGTAAATGAACATGAAGATTTGGTAAAAGAAGAAAACCTTGAAAGAAGACCTTCAAACATAAATGACCCAGGAAATTAGAAAAATATTGATCAAAGATTGAGAGACTTACTGGTTGAAAGAGGTCCCAAAAGAAATGATAATCTTAATTTTCCAAAAGATTCAGAAGGCAGACATTTCTCCTCAACACATTACATTCGTAACTTATCCAATGGTGAATATCATGATAGAAAATGGCTAATCTATTCAAATTCTTTGGACAAGGTTTTTTGTTTTGTTGTAAGTTGTTCAAAAACGATGCAAACAAAATTCAATTGGCAAATGATGGAGTTAGAGACTGGAGAAATCTCAGTGCTAGACTTAAAAGTCATGAAACAAGTAGTGAACACATTGTTAACATGAAGAGTTGGATTGAATTAGAGATCAGATTACGACAAAATGCGACAATCGATAAAAGTGTTGAAGAACAAATCAACAAAGAACGAGAACATTGGAGAAAAGTACTATTGAGAGTAGTTGCTGTTGTGAAAACACTTGCTAAAAATAGTTTGGCATTTCGTGGAGATAATGAGAAGCTTTATGAAGAAAATAATGGAAATTTTTTAAGTATAATAGAAATGATTGCCGAATTTGATCCAATAATGAAAGAGCATGTTCGTCGAGTTCAGGAGAAAGAAATTCATTATCATTATCTTAGTCACAAAATTCAAAATGAATTTATTCTTCGAATAGCAGATGAGATCAAAAGTTTAATCATCCAAAAGATTAAAGAAGCAAAGTACTTTTCTGTTATTCTTGATTGTACTCCGGATGCAAGCCATGAAGAGCAAATGTCACTTATATTAAGATGCGTGAATATTTCAACAAGCCCAATAAAGATGGAGGAGTTCTTTTTAGGATTTTTAAAGGTGGATGATACATCAACCCTCTCGTATCGCACCGTCTAACCCGGTTGCGATCAGGAACTATTAGACAAAGGGATTATCAGAGAATGCAGAGAGGGTTATCCTCGGATGATGAAGTATCGGATGCTAACTCTGCAGTCGCTTCTGACAATACGGTATCTAGCCCGGGACAATCTCACGAAGTGTTCATGATCAACACCGAGCAGGTAGCCAAAATGGTTGAGGATGCTCTAACCAAACAGAAAGAGGCATTCAAGATTGAAATGGAAATGGCTATGCTACGGATAAGGGAAGAGCATGACCAACAAATTCGGGCTCTATCCAATCAGTTCGGTGAATCTAGCCATCCCAACCATACTGATCAAGCAGGCAGCGATTCAGATGTGGATGAACGTCTCAATGCTGATGACCAACGTCTCAATGCCAATGACAGCTGAAGAATCCTTTAGAGTCAATTACTTCATATATATCGTTGATCAAGCTCTTTCTTCACTCAAGAGTAGATTTGAACAGTTTCAACAGTATGATGAATCTTTTGGTTTCTTGTTTAATTTGGAGAGGTTGAAGTCTGCAGATAATGATAGTTTGAAGTGTTCATGTCTTAACCTTGAAGATCTCCTAAAGCATGACAAAAATTTTGATATTAATGGGACAGAATTATTTTCAGAACTCCAAATCTTAAGAGAAGCATTACCAAGAGGAACAAAAAAAGCAATTGAAGTATTGAATTTTATGGAAAGGCTAAATTGTTGTTTTCCAAATGCTTGGATTGCTTATAGAGTATTATTGACAATACCAGTTACAGTTGCATCGGCCGAGAGAAGCTTTTCAAAGTTGAAGCTCATCAAATCTTATCTACGGTCAACAATGTCACAAGAGAGATTGAATGGATTGGCTATGATATCTATCGAAAAAAATTTATTGGAGAAACTTGATTGGAACATTTTAATTGATAATTTTGCAGCTCAAAATGCAAGGCGATCCCATTTAATGTAGTATGAATTGTGTTATTTATAAAGCATCAAGAAGTTTTTTGATTTTAATATTAACACGATTATGTGCTTATTGTCTCATTTTAATAAAAAATATTTTGCTATCTATAAAAATTTTTGTGTATGGAATATTGTATATAGAGGCCCCTCATTTGAAAGCTTGATTAGGGTCCCGTGAAAAATTAAGAATATCAGGGCCGGCCCTGCTCTGATGTTGTGTTTTATCTTTGCATCAATCAGTTACACTTTAGTTTTGACATAACCTTAGATGTCATTTCAACATACCTATGGTGATTTCAAGATGTTTTTGTGGGTCTGATATAAAATTCTGAAGTCTACCAAGCTTGCTTGTGAAAATGCAAGTAAGATTGGGTACAATAAACCCGAAAGTTGTATTGATTACTCTCTCTGCATGAAGAAAGCTTCATGCACCAGGCTACCCTTAATCGAAAATCACACCCACCTAAAAATTTAGTGCCCTTTTGAGAAGACAAACCTGGCCGTTTGTTCGACTTCTATTATTGTTCAAACTATCTTATACAATATTTCTCTACAAAAAACGTCAGTGTCTATTAAATATCAAATAAAAAATTATAAGGCTTCTTTAGAAATAAATTTTTAATTTTTAATTTATAATATATTTTTTCATTTATCCTTTAATAACATTAGTTGTGCAAATAAGCAAATAAATTTATGTACTAGTTCTTATGCCTCGTTTGGTATGCGGGGAATCAGATCAAACAAGAATGAAATGAAGCAATGAATGGAATGTAATAGATGTGAGAATGGAACAGTACTAATTTACATTCTCATGTTTAGGTGCGGTTAGATAATGAAGTGAAAATAAAAAAAAATATTTTATTTTTGGTATTATTAATTAATAAGAAGTCATGGTACATTTGGTATTTAATTTAATTTTTTTTTCATTCTCATTTAAGTGGGAATACTTATTCCCTACCAACTCATTGGGAGGAACGAAAGAAAAGTGAGAATATACATTCTAGCTTTAAAAAAAAACATGTTTAGTATGTATGAATGAGAAGTGGGAATAAGCATTCCATTCTCACGAGTTCCCGCATACCAAACGAGATCTCAAAGTTACTTTTTTTTGGTCAATGAATTGAAATTTTATTCATTTTCCAAATTGAAAATGAGAAGAACAGCAAGGTACCAGAAAATCTGGGAACCAAAAGAAAATTACAAATTCTCAAGTATCTCTTTCATATGCACATGTATACTATCATTATGAACTTTTGTAAAAACTAAAAGCTTAATATCACTAAAAATCTGAGCAGGTTGCCTCACTTTAGCTTGAAAGATTCTATGGTTCCTCTCCTTCCAGATCATGTATACTGTAGTGGGTAGACACATCCTCTTCAATTTCTTCATAGGGCCTTTACCTTTCAAGTTACAGGAATACCAGTTCAAAATCATATTCCATACACAGGACCTCCATCTATACCTCAGCTAGTCCATCACCATGTTCTAGACTTCAGCTGAGTATTGACATTCAAAGAAAACATGGTTCCTTGTCTCCAATTGATGCCCATTACATAGGATACAATGAATCTGATTAGTGCTTAGGATACCCATTCGGCACAATCTATCCTTGGTGATAAGTCTTGAATGACAAGCTAGCCACAATATAAAAGAATGTTTAGGATATAGGAAACCATCCCAAATAGTTTTAGCCCAGGTAACTATATTCGTAGGCTGGACAAGATCCTTGTACACTGTAGATAATTGAAGTTTGTCATTAGTGTAGCATTCAGCTATGGCAATCTTAATATTATCAACACTTCCAAACTTGTGCAACAACATATCTCTCACTTTAAGGAGTTGTCTCCACATCCATGAATCATTTGCCTTAGATTGAACAGCCCAGATATTTTGACTCTGCAAATAGTTTCCGTGTATTCACTTGATCCATAGAAGATCCTTTTTAAGATGAACCATCCAAAGGAGCTTTGTAGCAGTAGCATAATTCCAGAACTTTGCTAAAAAAATCCCCAGACCCCCTTGCTCCTTCCCTTGACAAACAGATTCCCAATTCACTAAGTGAAATTTATGACCCCACAGGAATTCAGAACACATTCTGTCAATTCTCTCCAAAACTTTTATTAGCAAAATATAATTGCTGATCCAATATGTTTGAATGCCCAGAATAATACACTTTATCAACTCAAGTCTACCAGCATAAGACAGACATTTTTTTTGTTGCCAGGATTGAAAATTGATTATTTATTCTTTCAATAAGGCTAGAGCAATCAATATATGAGAGCCTTTTTGCATTCAGTGGCAGTCCCAGATACTGCAAAGGTAGTATACCCTAAGGGAACTGTAGATAATTGCATATCTGAACTTTGAGGCTATCATTTACTCCACTTAGGTAAACAGAGCACTTGCTTGAATTAGCTTCCAAACTTGAAGCTTGCCCAAACTCTTGAATACATGCGAACATTTTCACAATAGAGTTCATGTCAGCTTTGCAGAATAGTAGTAAGTCATCGGCAAATATCAAATGATTAATCTTTAACCTAGAACATTTTGGATGAAATTTGAAAGAGGAGTCATCCTTTAGAACACTAAGCTTTCTAGATAGAAATTTCATCCCAATGATAAAGAGATAAGGGGAAAGAGGATCCCCTTGTCTTAAGCCTCTTGCACCATTGAAATATCCATGCAGTCCCCCATTTAGTGCTAGAGAAAATTTTGGAGTGGAGATCCACTCCATGATCCAGCAAACCATGATATTAGGAAAACCCAGTCCAACCAACATACTTCTTATGAACTCCCAACTAAAAGTGTTAAAAGCTTTAAAGTTACTTGTCTACGTATCTAGGTATTGAAATATTTGGCTTTTGAAATGCTATATCCTTTATTCTCAGCTTCATTTAAAAAAAACTCCATCCGGGTCGGGTTTTGATCTATTACCAGGTATCTTTACCTTCTCCACACTGTGAATTCAAGTTCATTTAAGGCCCAAGGCTTGGGCCTGCCCCAGTGTTCGGACCGGACCTGGTTAGGCCCGAGCCTAACCCAGGCTAGGGCAAAGCCGGAAAACTCGAGCCGAATAGGGTTCCGGGCCCGATCCGAGTTGCTTCGGCGAAGCCCGCACCGGGCCCAGCCTGGCCCAAGTTCAACGGTCACCTAAGTGACCGTTGGACCGAGCTGGCCTAAGCCTGGCTTGGTGCAACGGTCACATTTGTGACCATTGTGACAGGGCCAGGTCCAAGCAGACCCAGTTCAGGCCCGCTCCGGTCTACTATAAAGGTCATTTTTGACTTTTGACTAAAATAACCTAAAAAATGGTTAAAAACAGCCAAAATTTGAGGGTATTTTGGTCATTTGGCTAGGAGGTTGCCTCTATAAATAGAGGGGGTTTTCATTTACTTTTCTCATTCAAAACTCATCTACTTCTCTCTAATGCTCTCTTATACTCTCTAATACTCTATTATTTTCTCTTTTACTCTCTAATTCTTCGATCAAATGGTTTCCTCATCCGATTATGAGGTGCAAGATCCAATCCCCTAAGTTGAAATGAGTCCTACTCCTACTCCTACTACACCTACAGGAGTTAATCCTCCTACCGATGTTGATCTTGAATCCGGTAGCGATGATCCCACGCGTAGAGCTCATAAAGGACTGAGATCCGACGTGTGGAATTTTTTCAAGAAGATAAAAGTCACCAAGGATCAACACAGTAAACTTCTCACCCAGAAGGCTAAATGTGCATTATACCAACCATGTCAAATGATATTTAGAAAAGCACAACCGAGCTCTCAAGGAGACATCCGTCAATCTATGCTCTGTCAATCATCAACCTCTGCTAGCCTCGGTTCTTGGAACTATGACCAATTAGAGCTAGGAAATGCGTCATCAGGTTTGTTATTCTTAAAAACCTTCCTTTTAAATTAGTAGAAGATGATGAATTTATGTGATTAGAGATGGTTTTTATCCTGTATTTAAAAATTTTTCTCATCAATCTTGTCAACGTGATATTTTGAAATATTATCATGAGAAACAAACAAAAATAATTTCTTATTTTTA